AAACCCAACAGAGAGAGGTTCAAAGTGCTCTGAGATCGTCTTTGGATGCCACCAAACAGTCCAGAATCTTGCAGTTGGCCTGGCCACCCCCAGACCTGGACCGGGCAGGGCTTCTGCAGCCCAGGCTTTCTGGAAGGTCAGGAAGGTCATGAGAGAGCTCGGCTGTTCCTGGAGGGCCCTGAAGGGAGTCGGGGCCTGGTGCTGCCTGGGTCTGTGCCAGCGGGCAGGGCGGCGCCTGGGGTCGGCTCAGATGAGGGAAATTCGCACCGGGATGCCGGGGGACTCCGTCCTCTGGGGTGAGTGATGGCTCACCAGGTGCTCCACCACTGTGTGTTTGGACATGTGCTTCATCAGGTAGGTCTCCTGTGGGCAGGGGTGAGATTCAGAACATAAAACCAACAGCTGGCAGAGGTGGCAAAAGAGGCTGAAGTTCCCTCAAATGGCCACTGGAGGGCTCCTTGGCAGTGGGCCAGCTAGTGGTGAGCAGCCACAGTTTGGGGGGGCAGATGAGCATCCCCCACAGGTTCCAGGGATGCTGCATCACAGGCCTGGGAGCTGGCTCACTGACCAGAGTCTGAGCCACTGCGTGTTGTCTGGAGAGCCAGGAGGCACCAGGCCCGTCCCTCAGCAGTACCCACCTAGACCTGCCTAGAGGCCAGGCTAGCTGCCATTTACCAACTGGCTGTCGCGGAGTACGCTGGCTGGTGCTCCCAGTGAAGGTGGGGCAGCAGGCCTGGGTTTGAGCCTAGTTCTGCACAAGTCATCTCATTCCTCCAAGCCTCAGTTTCCTCCTCTGCAAGCAGGGATGGGGCAAGAACAACCTAAAGGGTTGCTAGGGTGATGTGGGTAAAGCTCAGCATGCAGTAAGGGTTGAGGGAACCATTCCTTCCCCAGTCTTTGCATTTCATTCCAGGTGGTGGTGGGAGACCCAGCCTCTGCACCCCCACACTCGATTCTCCCTTGGGGAGAAGAGGGGCCTGATTTGACTGGTGACTTTGGAAGCATAAACTGGGCATGCTCAGCTCGTTCCTTGCGCACCCCCCACAGGCTCTGCTAAATCTGACCTGAGGCACCCAAGAATAGGTGGGCAAGGTGACCAAAGGCTCACCTGCAGGCCCATAGGCTCTCACACTAGGCTGCAGGGTGGTGCTCTGGCTCCCACCTGCCACTCACTCCTTGGCCTCATGCCTCAATCTGCTCAGAATCCGGCAGAGGAAGCCCTCAAATGTGGTGGCCACATGCTAGCACACAACATCAGAGGGAAGCAATCAGCAAAAGCCAAACTAGGAAACTATTCTTCAGTAAATACACTACAAAGGGAAAAAAAGGCAGGGGTGGGGGAGCCAATAGATAAAAAGATATACTGACCCAGTGCAATGTAGAAATCTTATTTGGATCTTGATTAACTAACAAAATTCTAAGTACACAAAAGTATGGCGTTAGTGGGACAAACGTGAATGCTCCCTGGGTATTTGGTGATATTAAGGACTTACAGTGAATTATTTTATGGTATTATAAAGTAGTGTGGGTGTGTTTTAAAAAGAGTCTTTATGTTTAGAGACACTAAGTGAAAATTTTCAGATGAAACAATATGATGTCTGTTCTACTTCAAAAAACAGGGATACGGGTGAAGCGGGATTGGTTGATGGTTCTGGGGGCTGATGGGAACATGAGGGCTCACTATTCTAAAATACTTCTTTTATGTATTAAAGTAGTTTAAAAATCAATCCATTAAAAATATTTTTTTTAAAAATGGTAATTATTATTGTTCTATGGAGGCCCAGTTCAGGGTGGGACCCCAGGCTGACCCCCCTCCCTCCAGAGTTCAGAGAGATCCCCTCTCAGAACCACAGCTGTGTCCCCTCCTCTAAGAATGGGGGTGCGGAGGAGGGTCAAGAACTGGGGGCTGGGACTGGCTGAAGGTCAGATGACTGGGCCTGGTCCCTGCAAGTCCTGTCCTTGCAGTACCTCAACTCTCCTCTGCCCTTGAACTCCAGGGAAGGATAAATACCACACACTCGGCACTCAACAAGCTGCAGCCCTGGCCGGCACCTGCCGCATACAGCTGGCCACCCTGCCTGCAATCCTGGCGTCCCCTCCATTCACAGTGACCTTTCAAAAGCACTCCCAGATGGTCCCCTCCTGATGGCTTCCCATTCCCCCTGGAAAAGTATCCAGACTCCCACACAGGCCACACAGGCCCAAGTGACCTAATTTTCTTTCAGTTCCTGGAACACACCGAGTCTGTTGCAGCTCAGGGGCTTGCATTCGCTGTTCCCCTGCATAGAATGTTCTCCCCTCCTCCTGCTCGCCTGGCCCGTCCTACAAGTCTCCAGCTCAGTGTTGCTTCCTCATACAGCCTACCCGGACCTGTCTCCTCCCCAGCTCCATTTTGTCCTGCCTGCCACTCTTTCAAAACACACTTTCCTTCTTAGCAATGGTCCTCAATCAGAAGCAACTCTGCCCCCCCCCCCCGGGCATTCGTCAAAGTCTGGAGGCATCTTGGGTTGTCACACTGGGGAGGGAGTTGCTAGTGGGCAGAGGCCAAGAATGTTGCTAAACACCCTACAATGCACAGGACAGCCCCCTAGCAGGGAGGTACCTGCCCAAACGCCAACACGGTCCGAGGCTGAGAAACCCTGCTTGGAGCAATGACCACAACTTGTCATTACATCTTTATTTGTGCAGTTACTTATTTAATATGTCCCCAGCAGTAGACTCTAACTTCCCTGGCAGCCAAGAATATGTCTGTCTGGTTCATCCTGGTCCCCAAGCACTGGCACAAGCTTTCGGTAAACACTGAGTGAACAAATGTTAGCTAAGGTGGCTCAGACACCGGCTCTGCCAGCCAACAGCCCTGTGAGTTAAGAACTATCACCTCCTCCATTGACAGCTGAAGAAACTGAGGCTCAGTGATCTGTCTGGGTATACACAGGGGTCTGTTACCCAGAATATCTGATTAGCCAGAAGCACACACACAGATGACTCACCTGGACTCTCTCTTCTTGGTTCTGAAAGGCCCGTGTTTAGGGAAATTCAAACCCAGGGACAGAGGGCTGGATGCACCGACCTTTCTGGCACTGTTCAGACCTTTCCTAAGACCTGAGGGTGGCTCTGCGCAGTCACTGTGCCACCTTGTGGCCACGATGGGGGTTGCAGCTTCCCCAGAGGAAGAAGGCCCGTCTCCCTTCCCTCCCTGCCTCTGGAAAGCAGGGTGCCAAGCTCACCACCACTCCCTGGAGTGTTCCTGGGCCTGGAGTAAACCACACCTCGGAACCCTACAGGCTGCCAGGGAGCTGGGAGCTTGGTCTGGGGCAGCCTAAGAGAGAACTGGGACACAGACATCCTGGCTCCCCACTACTGTGATTTTAAGGAGTCACTTCCCATCTCTGGGCCTCAGTTTTCTTGTCTGGAAAAAGGCGAGAGTCAGTATAGATCTGCGAGGAGGAGGAAGCTGAGGAGGAAACTGAGGCCCAGGGGGAGAAAAAGGCCCCCCAGCGCCCCAGGCACTCACCGAGGTGTAGGCCCGCCCGCACATGCTGCAGCAGTAGGCCTTGGCGTGCTTGATGGCGTGAGCGGACAGGTGGATCTGCAGGGAGGCGGAGTCCGAGTAGGCCCGGTAGCAGTTGGGACACTTGTAGGGCTTGTCCTTGTTGTGCTGGCGCTGGTGAGACTGTAGGGAGCCCAGGAGGGAGTCAGGGGCCAACAGGCATCCCCCAGCCCCACCCCCTTCTTACGCTCCCTTTTGGAGAAGGCAATTGGTGGGCAGGAGGCAGGTGGCCACTCACCTGGAGATTGGAGAGCTGAGTGAAAGCCTTTTCGCAGCCAGGATGTGGGCACTTGTAGGGTCTGTCGCCTGTGTGGATTCTGCAATGGGCAGCCCAGTCAGGTGGGGTCCCTGACAGGTACCCCTAGGCCAGCTCCACCCCCCATGCCCTCACTGGCCTGAACACACCTCTGGACCCCAAGCCTCCTAGGCTCCACTACCCAAACTCTCCCCAGAGTAAGCCCCAGGTAAGAGCTGGGGTAGCCACAGGCCACCCCTTTCCTTTCTCTGACCTCCCACTGCCAGTCTGTGACTAAAGCCTCCCTGCTCCCCAAGGTCCCTGATGAACCCAACCCCACCCACTCAGAGACCTGCCCCTGACCTCCAGCTAATTGTGGAGGGCTTGCTTTCACTGCATCTGCCCCTCTTCTAAAAAGCCCACCTGCAGACCACCCATTGAAAAGAGCACAGACACAGCTTCGCCAAGACCTTCCCTGCCCACCTGCCTCTTCCCTCAGAAAAAGGAGGCATCTCCCTGTGACTGGGCCCCAATTTCTATTTCCAGACCCCTCCCCATGTCAGACCCATGTCCATGATGGTTATACGGTCAACCCAACTACTGAGAGAATGCAGGACAGGGTGGCCCTGAAGCATGGCCCCTCTGTATCATTCCTGTGAGTCCCTTCTGTCCCCCCATTCCCGGTTCTCATCCTGGCTCCACCACTACCTAGCTGGGTGACCTTGGGCAAACCAGAGCCTTGGTTTCCTCATCTGAAAAATGAGAATAAAATACAGACCCTCCTTCACTGGGCCTTATGAAGACAGATTAGATAATACATGTAAGGGGCTTAGCCAAGTACTGGCATAAAATGAGCACTCAATAAACACCTGTAGTATTTATTCATTCATTTAACAGTTACTACATCAGACTTGAGAAAACAAGTGACACCTGCCCCTGTCACATTCATCATTATACACATACCAAACATCACAGCCAGGGGGAGAAAAGGGGGCAAAAACACTCTGCAGTCTGAACAAACCAGCCAACCCAGAGTCCTCAGTCCAGCAGGAGTTCCCCCCAAAGTAGAACTGGGAGCCCTCTCTGCACCTGCCTCCCTAACAAAACAGTTCTCCCTGACTGCATCGCGGTGCCTACAGATCTGTGATCTGACAACATGCTGACTGCAGGAGACCACTGCTGTTTTCCTACCACCGACAGACTCACTACAAAGTTCTGCTTATTCTCTTTAAATGCACCGTGGTACTTATTGTTTACTGAGCCGGACCTCAAGTCTGGACCTCGCAACACTTTGCAAATCGCCTGCTCTTCCTTCCTGTGCTTTCCTTCCTTCCTTCCGTCCTTCCTTCCTCCCTCCCTCCCTTCCTTCCGTCCTTCCTCTTTTTAAATCTATCTTTATTGATTTCAGAGAGAGGAAAGGAGAGGGAGAGAGAGAGACAGAAACATCAATGATGAGAGAGTCACTGATCGAGCCCGCAACCCAGGCATGTGCCCTGACCGGGAATCGAACCCCGATCGCCTGGATCCTAGGTCGATGCTCAACCGCTGAGCCACGCTCGGCTGGGCTCCTGTGCTTTTCTTACAGCTGAAGGTCCCACCAAGATGCTCCAGTGTCATCAGCACCACTAAACTACATTACCCCCAAAATGCTCCCAGGTGCATCTTTCTCAACAGCCAGGGTGAGTCTTGCTCAACCCCTTTCTAACTCCACTTCTATTTCTTGACCAGGGCTGGTTCGGTTTTGGACACGACCTCCTTTTTTCATTCCCTGCATGACCGGCAATAACACTGGGAAGGGGCGTTTGATTATATGCCCTGATCGCTGGGTTCTCCATCAAGGGGCAGAAAACAGGAATGGTAGCAAACAGGCAACCTGCAATCTCGGTGCTTCTTTACATTTGTTTTTTTTTCAGTTGTCTGCCTAAAGGATTCTGGGGCTTGTGGGCATTTGGGAGCCCCCCCTCTTTGTCACTGGGTTAGGACACAATGGTTTAATATGTGCCTAATGACTAATTATTTGTCCCTAAATGTTGCTATGATCCTCATGTTACTTGTTTCATATTTCACCACTAAAAACTCAAACCACTCAAAAAAAAAAAAATTATACCCTCAGGAATGGAGAGCAATTCCCAGGTCAAGGAACATTCTGACGAAATACCCTCCTTTAGGGCCTGTTAATTTCTTGTTGCTTTTGTTGCAATCTGAAGTAATATCTTAAAACAAATGTCTACTTCTGAAAAAACTCGAATTCTTAATAACCATCACTGCTTGCTACTGTGTGTATTTCCTGCTAGACTGATGCCCAAACCCTGCCCAGTCTGTCTGCCAACTCTCTGCCGCAGCCTTTCTTAAATCCAGAATAATAAAATGACCAAGGTGTCCTTTACACCCAAAGGCTCTTGCAGTTTTCTGATGGCCACTGGGTGACACCAAAGATTTCCTCCTTCGTTTTATAAAAAGAGGGGTGATCTAAATAAATGGGTATTTTTTTAATTCTCCATATATATATTTTTTAAATGTGTTTTTTATTGATTTCAGAGAGAGAAAGGGAGAGGGAGAGAGAGAGAGAGAAACATCAATGATAAAAGAGAATCATTGATCAGCTGCCTCCTGCACGCCCCTTACTGAGGATTGAGTCCGCAACCCGGGCATGTGCCCTGACTGGGAATCAAACTGTGACCTCCAGTTTCAAGGGTCAATGCTCAACCACTGAGCCACACCAGCTGGGTGAATTCTCCATAAACACTAGGGTGAGAGCAGTCCTGTGAAGTTCCTAGCACTAGAAAGTTGGCGAAGCAAAAGAAGGGAAGCTCAAGCTCCCTTAGTTAATTTTATGAATATCTGTAATTATATATAATTTATATAAATATAATATATAGTAATATCATATATAAGAGTCATAGATAACATGTAATCATATATAATATAATTATGCATAAACATATAATCATATATAATATAAATATATTCGCCATATAATTATATATAATATAAATATATTTATATATTTGTGTATTTTTTAAGATGGAGGAAAAAAACCCAACAACTTTTCATGTACAGAGACTCGAACAGTATGTAGCCACAGAGAGATGTCTTAAAAAGATTATTTTTAGCTTTAACTACACTTATCAATTAGTGCCGATCATATAACACGTGCTTTCGGAGGTAAATTAAAAGACCCTGAAGATGGATCAATGCCCTTGCTGCCTTTGTTTTTAATCTGAAAAAACTGCATTCATTATACCTAAACAGAGAACTCCATTCTCCTCCGTTCTGATACAGTTCACTATTATAACAAACCAGAGCCATTCAGTCTTATCCGCAGATCTGATTTCCCCCTCACACTTGCCCAAAGACCTCTGCTTCAAGCTGCAGGTCAGAAACTGAGTCTGAAAGACACATCAGGCGATGAGGGCCGCAGTAGAGGACCCAGCCACATGCACCTGGCCCTTTATACTTCAGGGAACGGACAAATGGGCACTGGCATCCAAGCTGCCACCATCACCATGACCATGACCAGACACTGCCCGAGGCCAAGGCAGGGTCCACAAGTCTTTAGTCCAGAAGCAAACAACTCTGCAAAGTGGACTAACCACCCAAGATCAGCAGAACAGGAATTATGGCCTAGCATTGGATGGCAAAGGTTTCATTCTAGTTAATGTTATTTTCTAAAACGCATGTGAGAAAACCCATTTTTTATTTGATTTATCTCTAATCCTCAATTTAGGAGGCTATAACTGTACAAACCAGAATAAAATATCCCGTAAAGGGTGCCTTCCTCCTCCAGCTAACCCTTCAGAATTCTGGAGGGGAAACACTATAAAAATTTAACATAGATTAAAAACTAATGAATGATTAGGGAAACTGAAAAATAACAGTTCTATTGGAAACCACACAGGTAATTGGCCTTGTCTACAACACTCAGAACAATGACTGTAAACACTCTAAGGTCCTTAACTGAGACCCTTCTCTTTCTGTGATGGTTGCCAGTTCTATAAGTAGGTTCAGTAAGAATCTGTCTTCCTTCCTAACAGGGCATAATTGGGTAAATCAAATTTGTGACCATGACCATGCCAGAAATGTCACATTAAAGACAAATGTCACTTAATTAGGCATGACAAGCCTGATTGTAAGAAAGGAGGACTGTACTTCACGGGTGGCCTCCCCAGGCCTCCAGGAAACTGGACAGGATCTGCTCCGTGCTCTGTGGACCTACAGTCCTTAAGGCTGTAGAAAAAGTCCCTCCTGCTGGCCCAGAAACGTGACAAACTTGAGATTCTCCAAAAAGATGGTACCTATTGTTACAGGTTGTAGAGGCAAACCTGACAGCGATGAAGTGGATGGTTCTAGGTGCCTGATCTTAGGTAAAAAGATAAGAAAACTTGTGCACACACACGCAGATTAAAATTATGACCAGTCTCCTGACAGAAGTTAACTCTCAAACCTTACAACCAGGGAGCTTGATTAATCAACCTTCATACATATGACCTCTATGTACGTAAAATTGGCCAAACTTTTTAAAAAATCAAAGTAATGACAAAAATCAGAAAACTGCTTAAACAAACTTATGGGGCCAAATCCATGGCAGGAGGCATGGGAACAAGAAAAGCAGACTGACTCCTTGTCCTGTGGCCACGTTTTCTGCCATGTTTCTTACTGTCCAACCTACATATCATGCCCCAAAGTCTGAGAAACAGAGCATGCTGTGCCCTTGGATAGAGCACACAGGGACAGTGAAGATAAATAATAATCGCAACAACACGAGTAAGACATAAGGTCCCTCTGTCTAGCATTCGTCCCCCTAACAGAGAAAACCTGAGTGCTTTCTGTAAGTTACAAACCCCACGGGAAAAAGTCTTCTCCCTAACTGTGCAGTGCTGATACCGACAAACACAGCAATGCTCACAGATCCCATCACCTGGGAGAAAAGTGCTGTTTCTCCCTCTGAAGAGATGAACTGCAATCTTGGAAACCGTGGGTTTGTTTCTTTATATTTCCATGGCCTTTTTATTTGGTGAGCGAGTCGTTTTTTTCTTTTGAATAGGTTTTTATTGATTTCAGAGAGAGGAATGGAGAGGAAGAGAGAGAGAAACGTCAATGAGAGAGAGTCATTGACCGACTGCCTCCTGCATGCACCCTACTGGGGATGGAGCCCGAAACCCAGGCATGTGCCCTGACCGGGAATCAAACTACGACCTCCTGGTTCATAGGTCAACGCTCAAGTGCTGAGCCACGCCAGCGAGGCAGTGAGCCAGTCTCTCTGATGTCTGTACTCCCCTGCGAAAACTTTTCCATCCTTAACGCATTTTTATCTTGGAATTTCCCTTTCACACACTGACTAGAATGTAAGCCCACGAGGGCAGGATTTTTGTCTGTTTTGCTCACTGCTGTATTTCCAGGACCTAAAATCACATTGGGCTTATAGAAGAGGCTCTGTAATTATTTGTTAATGGGCCATATAAAAGCTAGTTCTAGTTATTCCACAAATATTAAAGAAATGCTTAGATGCTTGTGGCACACTCTGGGGATGTGGAAATGAGGAGACCAAGCCCTGGCCTTCAAGAACTCCCAATATATTGGGGATCGTGGGCAAATAATCGGGCAAGGAAAGGACAGCCTACCACTGCTGGGGTGGGGAGGCACAGGGCCTGTGGAGCCAGCTCAGGGGGCCTGGGAGGAGGACTTCCTGGAGGAGCCTGGACTGAGAAGTGGATAAGAGAGGGCCGGAGAAACATGGTAAAGGAGGGGAGGGTGTTTCAGGTAAAGGACACAGCAGTACAAAGACCTACAGATGAGAAACAATGGGAAGGAGGGTGCAGGAGTGTGAGCTGAGGTCCACAAAGCCCATATCATAAAAGGCCTCCCTCGAATACCAAGCAAAGGAATCTGGTCTGGACCCTGAGGGCAACGGGCACCTTAGAGAAGTCCTTGCCCCTCCTTGTACCAGGTCCACGCTCAGGCACAGGCGCTGAGCTGCAACAGGCTGCAGGAGGCAGCACCAGGCCGGCCACTCACCTGGTGTGCTGCTGGAGGTGGGAGAGCTGTCGGAAGGACTTATCACAGTAGGAGCAGTGGTAGGGCTTGACGCCCAGGTGGATGCGCAGGTGCTGGGCCAGGTAGGAGGCGTTGGCAAAGGACTTGGAGCAGTGCGGGCACTTGTGGGGCTTGGCCTCTGTGTGCGACTTGGAGTGGATCTGCATCTCGGACTTGGTAAAAAAGGTCAGCGGGCAAACCTTACACCTGTGGGCAAGAGGCAGCTTCACACTCGGGAAGACCCCTGCAGCCCTGCGTGGGGAGCGCAGGGGAGACCTGCACCAGAGACCCCGTGCACCAGGGACGGAGCTTTCCTGAGAGGAGTCTCCCGGGCACAGGCCCACCTGGGAAAGATGGGGGCAGGCTCCGGGCCTGGACAACCTCCAATGTGGAGGAGCAAGGTCTTCCACCTGGGGGCACATTTCCGCAGCCTGGGCAGCAGGTTCACACCTCACAGGGAAGAGGCCTCAGGATCCACAGTTCTGGGGGAGGGGCTCAACCGTGCTGCACCTCGGAATCATGCAGGGGCAGCTTGCAGGAAAGGCTGACACCTGACCCTCCGCATATCCCCCCTAACAAATTAAATCAGAATTTTTGGAGGTGTGGCCCTGGTTTGGCATTTTTTGAACTCCCCCCAGGTGACTCTAACGTTCAGGGCTGAAGGGAAGACGAAACAGACCCCCACTGCCCCAGGCTGGGGTGCCTCACACTGCCTCTGAAAGGATGGGTGCAGCTTGTCAGGTGCCCCCACCCTCGGTCCTTGGGGCAGCCCTCTGTGGGAGCCTCTGCCCCAAGCCCACCAGGACCCCCTTTAGTCAAGATCCCCACCTGTATGTCTTGCCCTCCTTGGCAGTCTCGCCTGAGGCCAGGATAGGGTAGGGGACTACGAGGACAGGAGGGCCCCCTGGGTTCTCCGCCTTGATCTTTTTGCGGCCGCGCTCGGACTTGGGGGGGCCAAGCAGGCCATGGCCCTGGATTGTCTTGATGGAGTCCAGGAGGGGGGGGCTGGTGATCCCTGAGATGAGGGTGGGGGACGAGGCGATGAGGCGGCTCTGGCTGGTGGTGGTGGGAGTGGATGGGGTGCTGGTGCCCGTGCCCGCACTGGACTCTGATGTGCTCACAGCCGGGGTCCGGGAGGAGAGCCCCAGACCTGCGAAGACATGGGGGGGCAGGGGTGAGGGGCAGCTGCAGAGGCCAGCTCAGCCCTGGCCACCCCGCTGTGTGACTCTGGCAGGTTACTCGCCTTTCTGAACCCCCCTTCCCTTTGTAAATTATTACCCAGGGGTAACTAAATGAGAGCTTGTATATGTGTAAGATGCCTTAGGTACCTAAGAGCTAAATTGAGTTAGGTAACAGGCACTTTGGAAATCATTCAAACCACAGAAAAAAACTGAGGCACAAAGATGTTCACTACTGTGTTAGCTATAATAGTAAAAGCTAGAGGCAGCTGAAATACGCAACATTAGGGAAGGAAGGATTCAATGAATTTTGATCAATCTCCTCTAATGAACATTACTGCCCATAAAAAAGATTATGTTTGTAAAAACATTTTTAAAAATTTTTTCTTTATTGATTGATTTTAGAAAGAGAGAGAGGTCAATTTGTCGTTCCACTTATTTATGCCTTCACTGGTGGATTCTTGAATGTGCCCTGACTGGGGATCAAACCCACCACCTTAGTGTATGGGGATGATGCTCTGAGTTACCTGGCCAGGGCCAAAAAAAAAATTTTAAGTCATATGTATGCATAGAAAAAGTAAGCAAGAGGAGATAACCAAAATGTGATGTGGGTGGTAGAATTAGGAGTAATTAAAAAAAATTTTTGGTTTAACTATACTTTCTGACTCTTTGACATGAAACTTGCTTTCTTTTACTTCTGTAATAAAAGTTACTCTTTAAAATGAGGAGACTAGAAACCTTTACAATATCAGGTTAAGCAGACAAAAAGATAAAAATAGTATGCGATGAAAACTATGCTTTTTTTTTTTTAAATCTTTCTGTGCACTGAGAAAGATAATATCCAGAGTTGGCACAAGTACGATTGAGTGACACACAGTTGGGAGTGTGCACTTATCAACTTTAATGGAGGCTGCATGGCAATAACCCTTAAAATGTTACATGTATGTAGCTTTACACCAAGCAATCCTACTTCTAGAAATCGCCCTAAAGAAATATTTGCACATGGACAAAAAGACTGTATACATGGACCTTCTCTACAAAACTGTGGTATGATCTGTTTGTCCACAGTAGGGACTCTGTAAAGAGATGAGGTCCATCCTCATTATGGAGGACTGGGCAGCCACAACAAGACAGATGTCACCTAGTGACAAAGAGAGAAGGCCAACGTGTACTGTCGAGTGAAAAAGGAAACCATGGAAAGTAGGAACCCATTTATTTAAAAACATACACCCAAACTACATATATATTATATAGAGACAACGCAGATGTGTGTAAGTGCACAGGAATGGATGTGAGAAGAGACACACCAAACTAAATTGTGTGCAAACTGAGGTGCTCTCTAGGGAGAAAGAATTTATCGATAAAAGGAGATCTTCATACTTTGTCTATTTGCTTCTATATTATTTGAATTTTTACCTGGTGAATTCATCCACTTTTTACATCTGTGATTAAAGGATAAAATAAAATAAGTTACAGAGAAGACAATAAAATGCTAACAATAGTAGGACTAGGACTAACTTTTTCTCCTTTCAGCTTATCTTCAATGTCTAAACTTTCTATAATGACTATGTATTTTACCTTTATAATAAAAAATGCACTAAAATAAAGTGTCCCAAAAAATGTGTACACACTTTGAATAATTATTAATTCCAATGGATTAAATCTGAAAAGAAAGAAAACATCAATTGAGCTAGTAGCTGTTAAAGTGTGTATACATTTTTGGGGGACACTGTGTATGTTTATGATAGAATGGCAAGTAGGAAAGCAAGTTAAAGTCATGGGTACAGCCCTACCACAAGCTCAGCAAAACATGTATGCACATTAAAAAGCAAACAAAAATGATGAAAAAGGAAGGAAACAGACCAAAAGGCTCTCTAAGCTGCTGAGTTAGAAGCTGGGGGATTATGAGTGATTTTTTTTCTTCGTTTCTCTGTTTTCCAAATTTCCCATAATATGCTTATATTACTTTTTTAATATTACTTTTATAATGAAAAAAATAAATTTAATAAAGTCATAATAATGGGGAAATGTGCAAAGTGGCTGGGGCCTGGGGGAGGCTCACAGGGCCCCATAATTCTTGGATGTCTCTGAAAGGAGGCGGGAGAAGGGAAGAGAGGCAGGGGTGCCTGGCTGGTGGCAGGTGTGAGCCAGGGGAAGAACAAAGACCCAGCTGCAGTGGCCGCCAGAGAAAACCTGTCCACCAGGCATCCCCAGCCTGTGACACTGCACCAGGATGTCCCCCTGGCACCCTATCCAAGACTGAGCTTATGCCCCCCCCCCGCCCCTGCACTCCTTCTATGGTTCCATCTCTCTGGCAGTGCCTGGGAGTCTCCCTCACCTCCTCCCACTCCTCACTCTACATCCAATCCAGCAACCAGCCCTGAGCACTCTTCTTACCGTAACTCAGACCTGCCCACTTCTCTTAGTCTCCACTGCCTTGCCAGGGCCACCATCCTCTCCTGCATCTCTCTCTGCCTCCATGCTTGTCTCCCACCAAGCCAGTTTCCATCTTGCAGCCAGACCCAGCTTTCTAACCCAAATCTAAGCATTTCCCTCCCCAACTTAAAAACCTTCCACGGCTCCCCACTGCCCTAGGGTAAAGTCCAAACTGCACAGCATGACCCATAGGGCCCCTGGCAGTCTGATGCCTGCTTCCTCTCTAGCCTCAGCAAAATGAGGTAGAGCAAAAGGATTAGCCCATAGGCTCTGGAACCACACTGCCTGCCTCCGCCTCTTCCTCACTGTGAAACTGAGCCTCAGTTTCCTCATCTGTCAAATGGAGATGTTAGAGTGACCGCACAAAACTGCTGTTTTTGTAAGTGAACCTAATACTAACAGTACCCACCTCACTGCGCTGCTGGGAGGGATCAAATGAGTATTAATGAAGTATACAGGTGCTCACCATCATCCGGCGCTGCCCACCCAGACTGTCCTACTCCTGCTTTCTACGTATACTCGCTTTGCACATGCTGTTCCCTCTGGCTGCTCCGTTCCCTGCTGAACTGCCAACCTTTCCCTGCCTATCTGCTCCTCCAAGGAAATCTACCCCCCCCCTTCCATCCTGCCCCAGGTCTGCTCAGGGTTCTTCTCTGGATTCCTAAATTCTTTAAACTGACTTCGCTTCCCTCATGCGCCCCCCGGGGGGCCCGTCCTCGTCCGGTTGAGTTTGTGGGGTGGGTCCTCCCAGGACAGGGTGCCGGCTGCGGCCGCTCAGCCCAGGCCCCGCCCGCTCGGCCTCCCGAGGCACTGAGCC